TGTGAAAGAATTTCGAAGGACTGTAACCAATGTAGGCCAGGAAGGGATGGCTTACACGGCAAAGGTGACAGGCATGGATGGTATAAAGGTGATGGTGGAGCCTCAGAAGTTGATATTCAAGCAGAGCTATGAGAAGCAAAGCTACAAGCTCAGCTTGGAAGGCCCAAAATCATTGAAGACTGAAGTTATTTTTGGTTCTTTAAGTTGGGTGGATGATGATGGTAAATACATGGTAAGAAGTCCAATTGTGGCCACAAGCATCACTCCATGATAATGCACAGTTAAAACCTTTGATTGGCCTATTATGTACCTTATGATTGTCTAATAATGCAATTTTTCTTTTTCTCAGTCAAAGTGGTTTTTCATTGATTAATCACTGGAATACAGTAAAGGATAGGCCAAATGATCATCTATTAAAGTAACAGACACCTGATAGAAGTTTGGTAGTAAACCAGAATACAAGAAATATACATCAACAAAACCAAATAATGCCCATTACCGAAAGGTAGGGAACGCACAATATAATCTAAGACCGAGACTATACATTAGACAAGCTTAGAGATAGAACAAAAAAGGGTGCTACCATCATGGATGTTGTGCTACAGGAAGTTGTCAAAAAGGCTGTCCACTAGGCATTGGCAAATTTGAAGGCCATTGTTAACTAGAAGCAATCACTTCTTCCATGTTTGAATACTGTCATGCGTTCAGCTTGCAGATCTTGCCTCGCTCCATCAAAAGTGCCATTGGTGCTCCACAACAGAAATACTACAACCATGTACACCACATTATAGCACAGCTCTACATCTGGCGTCTCCAATTGCAAGAAATCATGACAAACAAATTCAGACCAACAACTTACAAGACAAATATTGAGCACCGAAGTGCCCATCACAAAGGGATACAAAACAGAGCACCAGGCATGAAGATCACTACCAAGCATAGCGCATATCCCTATTCACCCCAGAACAAGCGAAGGCATCCATTGTCAAAATAGCCTCTTGAAAATATGTTGAAAAGAAATATCACTAGAAAAATGACCAGGAGGAGTTGTCTTTAATCCAAGTCATATCTATTTTCGAATCTCATACAATGGCACCCCTCAAATATTTCATCAATAAAATCATCTCAATAACATAGAGCAGTCCTCAAAAGTATTGTCAAAAACATCAATATCAAGAAATGTGTTATAAGAGGTGAGGTGCTGCTGTAAAAGAGGGTAAAAAAACCAGCAAATAGCACCAGCAGTAGACAGCTGGCCAAACAAGGCGTATCTCTCTCCACTCTAAACTAACCAAATTAATCACCAAAATCAACAATGAGCGAATCCCACCATAATTAATTCCGTTCCCAATGAATATTTCATTGAACAAGATTAGGTAGCCAAATCAATATCATCAAAGATGAAGGTGGGCTTCCAATTCACATAGCATCGGCTTCTGATAGCAGTTACAATCAGCTATTGAACTGATATTGAAGATTTTTTTTGGAGAAAACATATCTCCAACAGTTTAGTCCTTTGCAATATTATGTAAACATAAGCTCCTTTCCTAACTTCTTTCCCTACCATGTTCTTTTTCTTTCCTTTACTTTTCTTCTGCTTCTTCCTTTCATACAGTTTAAAGCTCAAGTACATTGCTGTCACCAACCAGCCTACATGCTGCAATGAAAAATCCTTTCTTTCCAAAATTAATAGCAGATACCATAGAGTCCTCTAGAACCAATTTTTGCCCTTGGATATCTCTTCTTTCATTTTCGCCTGGCTCCAGAAAACTTGCAAGAAATTTCTGAAGAACAATGACCAATGTAGGAGATGAAAAGGCAAGTCAACGCTGCACAATGGCAATTTACTGGTCTCAACGTTAAGTTTGTGCTAAAAGAAATTAATTTTCCAATATAAAAGGGCAAGAAGTAGTGAACTACAATTGTTTTTTTGTTTTAATGATCATACATGCATGGTGGCCTCATTTCCTTTTCCTTTTGCTTGAGTGGTTTCACTACTTTTCTCTAATTAAGATGATAAGAGGTTTGTGCACAGACTATTTTTGAACAGAAATTTTCTTTTCTTTCACGTTTTTCATTTGCACCTTTACCAACTAGGCAGGTACTTAGCATCATTACTTTTTTGACCCATTTGTTCATTTCTAATTGCATCCAATTATTAATTTTTGGACCCATTTGTTAAGTTTTTTTTTTCCCATTCAATTCGTTACTAGAATCTTTATCTACCTTTTCAATACCTGAAGAGCTAAAATTTACCAATATATGTAAAATATGACAGAAGAAAACGAAGTTTAAGTGAAAAACTTGGTTAAGCTTATCATGAATGTATTAGACAAGAACCAAATTAAACCATATTTTTTCACTGATGGGGCATCTAAGCAATATCTTTGTATATATCAAAAAAATACATAAAGCCTTGATGCTGAACTTCTTTACCGGGGATTTAAGTTACAAAGTGGGGGATGAAGCTCTGTTGCTGGCCATATTAATCACGAGGGCGGCCATACTCCATCAAGCTAAAACAACATTTCATGTGGCCTGTCGACTCCAAGTACCACGCGATGCTTTCATCAAAGGAAAAAGTAGGAGAAAAACACACAAACAAAGAGGGGAGATTTGGTGAGAACATGAAAAGTTTAATGCAGTACCGCTGTTACCACTCGCCATTCAATGTAAAACCAAATAGTAAATGCGGAACCCAAAAACAAAGCATGTTGTTGGTTGTTCTATTATTGGAGGTGAGAAAGAGGAGAACATCGTTGTTATTTAAAGCGAAGGCCAAAGATCAAGTTCAGAGGCAGAGTCGACCATGAGTACTCTTAAGGTTATCTCCATACTTTTGCTCGCCGTCTGCTTCCTTTCCTTCATTCTAGCAAAGCCTGATACTTATATCATAAACATGGACTCATCAGCCATGCCTAAAGCCTTTTCCAGTTACCCCAGCTGGTATTTGTCCATGCTTTCTTCAATATCAGATACTTCTAACACAGAAAGTGGCAGCTCAGCTACTTCAAAACTTCTATATACTTACTCTAATTCGATCAATGGCTTCAGCGCCATTCTCACTTTATCTGAGCTTGAAGCCCTCAAGAATTCTTTTGGGTACATTTCATCTACACGGGATGTTCCTCTTAAGGCTCATGCAACTCACACTTCTCAATTTCTTGGTTTAAGCTCTACGTCGGGTTCATGGACAGCTCCAAACATGGGTGAAGATGTCATAATTGGCATACTTGACTCTGGCATTTGGCCGGAGAGTGAGAGCTATAGCGATGAGGGAATGGCTAAAGTTCCCCCCAGATGGAAAGGAAAATGTGAATCTGGAACCCAATTCAATTCTTCCTTGTGTAACAAGAAACTCATTGGGGCTCGATTTTAAGAGTTTGCTTGCTAACCATCCGAAACTAAAAATTACAATGAACTCCCCAGAGATAATGATGGACATGGCACACATACTTCATCGACTGCAGCAGGCAACTATGTAAAAGGTGCTTCCTATTTTGGCTATGCCTCAGGCACAGCCAGAGGCATGGCGCCGCGGGCTCATATAGCGATGTGCAAAGTAATTTGGAGATATGGCATCTATGCATCTGATGTACTGGCTGCAATGGACCAGGCAATTGATGATGGAGTGGATATATTGTCCTTATCCTTGGGTTTTAATGTGGAAGAACACTTTTTGGAAGATGATCCAATAGCAGTAGCCAACTTTGCAGTCATGGAGAAGGGTGTACTTGTACTAGCATCAGCTGGAAATGATGGGCCTTTGTTTTGGAGTATACGCAATGGAGCACCATGGTTGTTAACTGTGGGCGCTGGTTCAATAGATCGTAAATTTTATGGAATTTTGACTTTGGGAAATGGGGTTCAAATCACCTTTCAAACCTTGTATCCAGGCAATTATTCTCTAAACCAAAAACCCCTGGTTTTCCTGGATAAATGTGAGAGTGTCGGTGAACTAAAGAAATTAAGAAACAACATCATTGTTTGCAAGGACCATCTAAGTATAAGCAATCAAGTTGAAAATGCTGGGTCTGCTAGGGTTTCTGCAGCCGTTTTCATTTCCAATTATTCTTCTCTATCTGAGCTTTACACCAGAAGCTCATTTCCAGCAGCATTTGTTGGCCTTCGCGATGGCCAAACTTTGATAGACTACATAAAGCAGAACACTAATCCTAGCGGAAGGCTTCAATTTCAGAAAACAACTATTGGTACAAAGCCAGCACCAAGGGTAGATGATTATAGCTCCCGAGGTCCATATTTAAGATGTCCCAGTGTTCTAAAGCCAGACATTTTGGCTCCTGGCTCCGTAGTGTTGGCGTCTTGGTCTCCGATTAGTGAAGTTACTTCTGTCCGATCACGTCCATTGTTTAGCAATTTCAATCTTGATTCAGGCACGTCCATGGCTACTCCACATGTGGCAGACGTGGCAGCACTTTTAAAGGCAGCACACCTTGATTGGAGTCCTGCAGTCATTCGTTCTGCCATTATCACCACTGCCAAATTATTAGACAATACTTTAAGCCCCATTAAAGATGTTTCAAATTACAACTTCCCTGCTAGTCCTCTAGACATTGGAGCTGGACACATCAATCCCACCAAGGCTCTTGATCCTGGGCTTGTGTATGATGCAGCACCTGAAGACTACATTAAGCTTCTCTGTGCAATGAATTACACATCAAAACAAATTCGAATCTTTACAAACTCAAGTCACAACTGCATGAGTAGGTCCTTGGATCTCAATTACCCATCTTTCATAGCTTTCTTTACGGATGAGCAGTCAACTTCAAATAAAAAAGTTGTGAAAGAATTTCGAAGGACTGTAACCAATGTAGGCCAGGAAGGGATGGCTT